GGCTCCTGGCATCGCTACTAGGAGCAAGGATGCTACTAGGGGCTCCTGGCATCGCTACTAGGAACAAGGGCATCACTACTAGGAGCAAGGACGCTACTAGGGGCTCCTGGCATCGCTACTAGGAGCAAGGATGCTACTAGGGGCTCCTGGCATCGCTACTAGGAGCAAGGATGCTACTAGGGAGCAAATTTGCAAGAAACAAATATGACGACCCAATAGCGATGGAAGAAGCAGAATGCAGAAGCGAAAGCGCTTTGGTTTTGGAAAGGAAGACGTTTCATCTTATCTTTCCTGTTCCTGTAAACTTGTTTGGAGGCCGTCGCTTTCAGGTTGGAGGCCATCGCTAGTAGGTTGGATGCCATTGCTTCTAGGTCGTCTTCTTCACTGCTTCTTGCCACCTACGCTTCTAAATGCAATGTTTTGTGCTAAACATGCTCTGTGATGTGGTGCTGACTACTGTGGGAGCTGATGCAGGATGTTCCAAAATGCAACTACTCTCTTTAACAATAAACTATATGGCTCAGATTAGGGACTGGAGTGGATGGAATCATTGACAAAGAAGGTGGTTTCGCTTGGGACCGCAGCCCATTGTTGTTGATCCAGTACTGCGGAATGCCTTTCTTGCTAGAAAGGCTGGCGGTGAGAATTGCTTTCCAATTTCTTTCAGGAACTTTCCATTTCTCTCTCCCTCTCTCTATGTTCTTAAACGAAAGAAGGCATTGCGACCACATAGGGGGGGCCACGCACCCAGTTGACTCAATTGACCCAGTTGACCCAGACCCCGAACTAGAACCGTGCCATTCGAGTTCAGGTTAACCGCGATGTTTCTTTTTCATTTGCCAAACAAAGTGAATCGGGGTGAAACTCTGGTCATCTTCTGGTAGTGCTCAACCGGTAGTGCCCGCACTCAACCGGTAGTGGACGGGCCCTGTTTCCCTACGCCGCACGTGGGGGCCAGGAGTGCTGACAGCTCTGCCTTGGCTACTTTGGTTCGGGTGGGAGAAGGCGTAGGCGAGAAAAGCGACGCGAGAAGAGCGACTCGAAGTGAAAAGGACAACGAAAAATGGCGATGGCCTAGATACCCTAGTAAAGAAGAAAAGGTCTAAAGCAAGAAGACAAACCTGTAGACAGTATGTGACAAAAAAGACAATGAAAAACACACAGATAAGACAGTGCATCGCTTCTAGTACCAAGTGCATCGCTTCTAGTAACAAGTGCCTTACTAGTAGTAACTAGAAGCTAGTAGAAACAAGAAAGAAAAAGGAAGAAAAGACACAAGACAAGTGTCGTTTCTTGGAGTCAGGCCCCATCACATATTCCAGGCACTGCCGACTGCGACTATTCTGTTTCACGTCTTGCTTTTCTTGACAGAAAGGTCGTCGCACTTTTTTCTTGTTTCAAGGCGAAATGAAGCTAGGAGCAAGGACGCTGCTAGGGGCTCCTGGCCGTACTACTAGGAGCAATGTTCCCTACTAGGAGCAAGGGCATCGCTACTAGGAGCAAGGACGCTGCTAGGGCTCCTGGCCATACTACTAGGAGCAAGGGCATCGCTACTAGGAGCAAGGACGCTGCTAGGGGCTCCTGGCCATACTACTAGGAGCAAGGGCATCGCTTCTAGGAGCAAGGACTGCTAGGGGCTCCTGGCCGTACTACTAGGAGCAAGGGCATCGCTACTAGGAGCAAGGACGCTGCTAGGGGCTCCTGGCCGTACTACTAGGAGCAAGAAGCTACTAGGAGCAAGGGCATCGCTACTAGGAGCAAGGACGCTTCCAAGGGGAGAAGTGAAACGCCACTGAAACTCGGACGTAAATGGCAGGTCACCCGGCGCTCATCAAAATCTGAACCGTGAGCTTCGCCAACGATTGGTTACTCAGGCAGACATTTTTCTTGTTCGTTTCTCTTTTCCTTTTCCATTTGTCCATTGCCGGTTTGTTTTCAATTTTCGTTTGTGTTTTCAAAGATACTGCTCCCCAGGATCTTGCAGCTGTCTTCTTTTTGCACCAGTCTGAGTCAAATAAGAAGCGCACTATCGTGTCAGTAGACGGAAACTGAACGAGACATGATGTTTTTCTTTTTGATCACCCAACAGGACTGGGAAAGTTTTAGACAGACAACCCATCCTATTGTGACCTCTGCTGCTGCAGCGCATGCGACAAACACAACAGACAACACGCCACAAGACTGACACACAATACAACAAACACACACGATAACAAACACAATGCAGATGGCCTCCACCCTACTAGCAATGGCCTCCAACCTATAGCATAAGGAATCTAATAGCGTTGGCCCCCAACCCACGAGCAATGGCCTTCATCCTAATAGCGTTGGCCCCCAACCTACAGAAGTTGGCCACCACTTTACCCCGAGCTATTGGCAGCAAAAGTGCAAGGCTAAGATAGCTGGGTCGGGGTGACTGGCGAGGCTGGGCCACTGATGGCATTCCTGGGTCACGCCACGTGGTGGTTTTGCTTGGTTGTCAGTGTGTGACTCATTGTTCGTTGTTTACTATCATGTTTGTCCTTGTCTGTTGTCCTTCGACAAGTGGAGGGTAGATCCTGCGTGAGAAGAACTTGAGGCCATCCGGTATGTACAAGGGTAAAGCCAGTGCACAAATCACAGAATGCAAGAATCCGCCCTCAAGAACCCTGCACACGTGTTGCAGCTGAAACCAATCCTGCGTCATGCTGTTTGCAGCGTGCGCAAGTGTGAACCCCCTCGAAACGATGGCTCCAGCGCAAGACCGACCTTTTCGCGAGAAGGGGTGCTGCTCAGCTGCCATGATGCCACCGCTAGTAGCATCCTTGCTCCGTTCGTAGCGATGCCAGGAGCCCCTAGTAGCGTCCTTGCTCCTAGTAGCGATGCCCTTTGCTCCTAGTAGCATCCTTTGCTATTAGTAGTAAGGCCAGGAGCCCCGAACGTATGCCCTTCCCCTCCATCTTCCCTCCCCAGCCCCGTCCCCATGCGCCTCCCGTCTCGCTCCCTCCATCTTCCCTTCCAAACCCTGTCCACCTCCACACTCATCTTCCGTCCCCGACAACGCACGCTTCGTCTCGCTCTTCCGCGGCACTAGCCACTAAACGAGAACCCAAGCATCGGAGATGCTTTTGGGAAAAAGAAGCGTGATGGTGCATCTTTTTTGATTTTTGTTTACTTCTTTTTTGTCTTCAACATGCATCAAGTGCCGCTTTGTTGGTGCTCACTTGCTCCAACTTTTTTGTCTGGAAACATACAAGAACATGATGGGTTTGGTGTATCATGTGTAGTGAGTGTAGTGCGCACACACCGCATGTGTGTGATTGTGTGTTTGTGCCGTTCCTTACGCGCGTGTGTTTTCGAAATTGCTCCAAGCTGAATGGATGTGGGATGAGGCTTATCATCCTGGGCGTTGCGATTCTTGTGAGTTGCCTGGGCGTTTTCCAATTTGCAGATGATCCGTCCCAGGCTGGACTCGCTCAGAATCCGTTCCTTCGTTTCCTTCAAAAGATGCGCTCTCTCTGACGCTTTTTGACAGGTGGTCTTTTACACGGATCCAAAGCACTGGTGCTCAGCTGTGTAAAATGGCCTGGCTCTGGTTGTGCATGAAGGGCTCAACGGTGTGTGATATGTAGCTGATGTGAGTTTGGATGGTTTTGAGGCACACCCAGCAGCGGATGATTTGCTCTTCCAGAGATTTGGAGTCGTTTTTGGAGGCAAATTGGAGCTGAGCTCCTTGAGGTCCTGAAGGTATTGTGTCATGCTGTTTGGTCAGAAACTGTCTGACTCCGCTCCATTCAACACTGAGTTGTGATTTCAAACTGAGCTTTACAGGTGAGAGGCATTCGTGCACTTCTGTTCGACGTGCTTGGCATTATATTTCACAAGAATACTGGTACAATATTGGCACAATATTGGTACAGGGGGTGAAGCAACACCCGTGACAATGGTGTTTAGAAGCAACATATTGCCTACCAGGCAGGCTTAAGTTCAGTTCTGTTTTGTTCGGAGGCCTTCAACGGTCCACCGCAGCATGCCACGCTACTTGGACGCACCAAGAAAGAATTGGAATTCGGAGACATTTATATCTTCATTGAACCATGTTAAGGCTCCTGGTTGGATTCCTCTTTCTGCTTCTTTGATGTTTCTCTGCTTTTCTTGCTTTTTGCTTTCCTGCAGCCAAGCAAGCAAGCATGCACGCACGCACGCAAGCAAGCGGCAGCGGAAGTGGATTGTTGAAAAGCGATGCAAATACCAGCCAAAGGCTTACCACCCAAAACGTAGTAAACAGCTGTGGACAAGGACAAAATGTTGAAACTGTTGCCAATACCAGGGGAAGGCAATCGCAAGGCGCACAACATGTTGTGAAGACTAGCCGAAATTGACGATATGCCACCCAAAGCAACGAAAGTCGAACCCAAAGATTTCTCCCTCCAAAACCTTTAAAACTCCTAAAAGCATTTTCCGAGCAAAGAACGCGTTTCTGCGTTTCTCCAAGACATTTTCTCTCGCTACTAGGAGCGAGGTTCGCTACTAGTAGCGAACATTGCTCCTAGTAGTAAGGCCAGGAGCCCGTAGTAGCGTCTTTTGTTACTAGTAGCGATGCCAGGAGCCCCTAGTAGCGATGCCCTTGCTACTAGGAGCTTTTCAATCGGCTTTTCAGGGGAAGAGCATGGCGTCTTTTCTCGGAAAGCTTCGAGGCTTCGTCGTGCCAGGCTTCGGCTGATTGGCAGACGACCGACATCGGCTGTGTGGTACTTTCCAGGCGGAGAAATGGATTTTCCGATGAAATGCAATGACAAAGCACAAGTGCCTTACTAGTAGTAACAAGAAGCTATTAGTAACAAGTGCCACGCTAGTAGTAACAAGTGCCATACTAGTAGTAACAAAAAGCTATTAGGAACAAGTGCCTTACTAGTAGTAACAAGAAGGCCCAAGCGTTGAGAGGGAACAGGAGTTTAGCCGCCAAGCACTGCTAGGCTTTGGGATGTTCCAGCGGATGCTCCGCAGGCTTGAAACCAAGCCAGACATGTTCTTTTAGTGTTTTCAGACTTCGGTGGAAGGCGTCCAAGGAATGAAAACATCATTTTTGATGTCTCCCTGGATTTGACGACGCTTGCTCCTGAGAAACTCACAAGAACTTGCTTTTGAAAGAGAGAAATGAGAGAAACAGAAACGAGAAACATGAGAAGAAATTGGCGCTAGTAGTAACAAGTGCCTTACTAGTAGTTACAGGTGCCACGCTAGTAGTAACAAGAAGCTACTAGAAACAAGTGCCTTACTACTAGAAACAATAAGACACAGGATGAGACCAGAGTTGAAAGACTAGACGAAAGAGACGAGAGTGACAAGGGGCACTTTCTCCACAAGGTTCATCGGTGGTGAGGGTCATCTTGCTTCTGCTAGAGAGGACGGAACCTTGAGTCGGGGAAAGAAACAAAAAAAACGCGTCTTGTTCCTAGTAGCTTCTTGTTACTAGAAGCGAGGCACCTTTTACTAGTAGCGTGGCACTTGTTACTAGAAGCGTCTTGTTACTAGTAGTAATGCCCTTGTTACTAGTAGCGATGCCCTTTGTTCCTAGTAGCTTCTTGCTCCTAGTAGTAAGGCCAGGAGCCCCTAGTAGCGTCCTTGCTCCTAGAAGCAATGGCCTCCAACCTAAAAGCGATGGCCTCCTCTTTTCCTCCTTTTAGACCTTTAGACCTTTTCTTTTTTTCTTTTTCTCTTGCTGAAAGATCAGCTGCTTTACTACCCGTCGCTATTGCATGCGGCATGGTGGGGGGCCTTGCTACTACTAGCTATTCAAGCTACTATCTTCTTGCCCACCTTTTCAACTTCATGGCCTTCTCCCACAGAATGTCAGCAAGAAAGCACGACATAAAACAAGACAGAGAGAAACGTGCCACATTTATATACATATATATATATATGCATTTATCCCAATCTAATTAAACTTTCTGATGAACTTCTTTCTGTCTCTCCAGGTCTCCAAATTGGAAGCTCATCTCACGGCAGAAACGAACCCCCTGGAGATCCTGGTCTTGAGGTGGAAGTCAACAGAAAAGCGAGCAAAAGCAAGTCGACTAGTAGCGTCTTTTGTTACCAGTGGCGATGCCAGGAGCCCCTAGTAGCGATGCCCTTTGCTCCTAGTAGCGATGCCCTTTGTTGCTACTTGACGCTTTTCTTGTCGCTTTTTGGTATCTTTTTCGTTTTCAGGAAAAGGGTCCTGTGGGCCGGAGCCTCTTCAGATGTGAAGTGATCCGAACTTTGTCTTTCTGCCTCGTCTCTTTGGACCTTTACACCACCTCTTTTTGTTTCCTCGTTTCCTTAATAGGTAGGCCATTGCTATTGGGTTGGTTCCTTTTGAACTTCTTTTGTTTCTTTGTTTATCCTTTGGACCATTAGACCCGTTCCTTTTTCCTGTTTTCCGTAGCGTAGCCGAGGCCAACTGGGAAGATATGGCCACGAACATCAAGCAAAGGCTTCGAGCCAAAGGGTTTCTTGGAGATCTCCAGGTGCGTTTTGATGCGCAGGAGCCGATTGTGACCTGAATTTTTTGGGGGATCTCTTGAGTTTTTTTCACAAACAAGAAGCTATTAGAAACAAGTGCATCGCTTCTAGTAACAAGTGCCTTACTAGTAGTAACAAAGAAGCTATTAGAAACAGTGAATCTCTTTGCACTCTTTCAATCTCTTTAGTAGCAAACATTGTTACTACTAGTAAGGCACTTGTTTCTAGTGGCGATGCACTCTTTCCTCATCTTTCTTTTCTTTCCATTCTGTTCCTTTCTGAAAGAAGCTCTGAAGAGCTTTCAACCTTGCAGGAAGATGTGCGCATTTACAGGCTCGACGGTGTTTGCCAATCAAATCAACGTCTACTCTTCCGGCAAAATGTCAGGAACCATCGATGGCAGAACTTTGTGAGAACACCGATCACCCATATGCTTTCAGTGCGCCAGACATTTGTCCGACCGGATAAAGTTTCTAATAGCTTCTTTGTTACTACTAGTAAGGCACTTGTTACTAGCAGCGATGCACTTGTTTCTAATAGCTTCTTGTTTCTAATAGCTTCTTGTTACTACTAGTAAGGCACTTGTTACTAGAAGCGATGCACTTGTTTCTAATAGCTTCTTGTTGCTACTAGTGTGTATGGAGACACATCCCTAAAGATTGCTCAGAGCAGATTGGTTTCAAAGCCACAGAAGAAAACACACATTTTGGTATGTCTCACCAACTCTGCCATTTGTGCTTAAGGCATGTATGAACTGTGGTACCCCCTTCTTGAGAGCTCGAACCTACTGTCAGACTTGTCCTTTGTCTTCTTACTAGCGATGTCCTCCAACGTAATGGCGATGGCCTCCAACCTAATAGACGTCTTGCTTTTGATCCAAGTCAGGTGTTGATCGTGACTTTGGATTGCAACTTTCTGCCTAGAAGCCTGCATGCTTGTGATTCTGGAGCCAGGCTCTGATCGCGACCTTGCCGTTCCAGAGCCAACCCCCTTCATCCCCAAATGGAAACCGAGCCATTTGAGTAGTGCTATTTGGGGCTTTGGGTTTCCATGCACTCAACAATTCGTGCTGAGGTACTCTCTGGACTGGGTCTTTTCATTTGGCTGCCCTACCTCTATTGTCGCTCCGATGTGGTGCCCTGACTAAGACAACAGTATGTAAAGCAACCTAGCAAGAAGAACCTAGCGATGGCCTCTACCGTAGTGATGGCCTCCAAAAGTATGTAAAGCAATGTAAGGAATAACATTTGAAGAGCCATAGGATGTTGCAGAAGGAACAACTTGGAACTGAGGTGGTGGTGGAGAGCAATTTCCAGATTCAACTTGACATTAACAGGTCCGAGATTGAGCTGGAAGATACATGGAGAAAGAGGAAATGTGACAGAAATGACATCAGTGCTTTTCCAAACTCGTAGGAGCAAGGACGCTACTAGGGGCTCCTGGCCTTACTACTAGGAGC